ACACATTGGAACGAGCTCATTGATTTGTTCTCTGACGTACAGAGAATTTGTTCATGAGAGTGAAATTTGTTTTAATACTTGTAAAACACTTTACTGTCCCCGAGAACTTGTATTTTTAACAAAGACTACGTACGATGTGTTGATCTTTTGACACTCTCAAATTATTTAGCGTTGATGAAATATCGGAGACGAGTCTTCGATACAAAGTTTCCAAAGCATGACAGACTTCACTTTTCCACAATCCCTTCACCACCTTTTCGTGATTTTGTTTGTTGCTAGGTGACAGCGTACATAACAGAGCTTCAAGCATAAGGATCAGTGACTGACAACATGTCTGTTAAGTCAAGGTTAGGATGAACTGTTATAATTTGTGTTTTTCAACAACCATATGTGATGTTTTGTCTTTAAGGGTGGCGGACGCTGAAGGAGGGAGAAAGTCACTATCTTACGTACGTATATTGATAATTTTATATTTGATAAAGAATGAGTAACACGAGTTACGGCACCATGTAAATTGATCAAAATAATTTGACACAATTCTCCCACCAAAAAAATTTCGTGAATTGACCAGAACTGTTTTCCAAAATATATAACCGTTCATTGCTAAGAAGTATTGTTTTATTTGTTTATAAAACACAGAGTTTTATTTTTTTACTTTTAGAATGCCATTGTTAAATCTCTCTTGTAAAATCAATAGCTCAGGTAGGATAATTATCAGTTGTTGTTAACCATCATTTTAAAGCCTGCTCTCCAGTCACCCCATAACCCGCGCATACTTGTTCTTGATCTCCCAATTGCAAAAATTCTTCTTCATACTTTTTGTAAATATCGTAATATCAGAGAACGTACATATGGATCAAATAAAAAGTTTTATTTATAGATTTTGAAATATGAGCCTGCAAAACTTCTACTACAATCTGTGTCGTTATTTCGCTATGAAACTTTACAAAAACTTCTCTCGTGAATTGTTCGTGTTAAAAGTATGAGAGCTCCAAAACCAGGGGAGAGGTTTGTTATTTATATTACGTAAAGTCTTGTTCTTATCAAAACTCACATAGTTACAATCACCCTCACCACCATCATCTTTATCACACATTAACCCTCACCATCATTTTTTATCCCATACCATCATTACTGTAATCCCCCAGTCACCCTCACCACGTCCTTTATCCACATTACTCATTTTCATTATCCGTTCCTATTTAGAATGATACCCATGACTGGATCACCGCTGACCAATGATGTTGCGCCATCGGTCAACAATGCTCCGAAGGGCATCATACTATTAACAGGTGGTAAGGTAAGTGATTTTATTTTAGTGCCTGCCTTTTTGAGTCCTAGTATGAAATGTGTTTCATTTAAGAAATAAAAGATGTTTACTGTGCTTGCACAGGCTTATGCAAACCGAGGAGACCTTTGGAGAACTTGAGAGCAGATCAGTGCAAGCCCGAGACCAAAGATCGAGTGTTGCACATGCTCGAGAGCTCTCACAAACATCTCCGAGGTTTGCATAAGCCAGTGCAAACACGGAAAATATCTTTTATTTTTTTTATAAAATAACAATAATGCGAAACAGACGAACATTTTAATTTTTCCTCTAAAATGTATTCATGATCGATTGGCAAATTCTCTTTGACTGGTTGAACGTTATGATTGATTTGATTGGTTGAACTCAGATGTGTTTTGCACATGCTAATGCAAACACAGCTTTAGACCAATCAGCGCACGCGTTTCATTGTGTTTATTTTATAATGTTTGATAAAAGACCACCGTTGTATGACAGAAGTACAAAGACTCTCATACACACGGGAATTCTAAAATTGTAGACACCGTACCTAATCATTGGAGCATATAAGTACTAGATATTTCTTCATACCAACCTACATGGAATTTGAATTTTTGAAATATTTTAGATGACTAACTGCTAGTGATTTGGTCAACTATCTGCAAATTAGTAAGGGTAGAGCAGGATCATGTGTGCTCTATGGGATTGAGAAACCCTCCCATTAGATGAAATTTCATTCACTCGGGCACCGTCTTAGAACAATGCATGTCCAAAGCCAGAAGGGATAACTTATGGTACTGAATTTAAGATGCTGTATTCTTATACAAGTATCTTTAGTTTTCAGCTGATGATTGTTTTCAACGAGTATTTGAGATGTGTTCCATGTAAAGGCAGGTTTTAGTTCAAAACCTCTCGAAAGTTATAAGCTAGGGGACATTGGATTGGTATAGCTCACAACCTGTTAAATTAAACACGTTCTATAAATATTTACGAACAACGCGTGTTATTAGTTTATTACCTCGCGCTCTATGGACGACTGACTTAAACGACTGAAACAAGTCAGACGTCTGTTTGAGAGGCAGGCTTCAGTCAATGACTCAATAAACCGGCTAAGTATTTTAACAAAAATTTTAACAAAAAATTAACTTTTTTCCCGCTTCAATGGAAAATCTTCACAACAGAATTTTATGCAATTATATTTTTATTTTTCATCCTACGGGAGGTCTTGAATTGTAGATGATTGATGTTCAGTATTAATACTAACCTTTAGTATACCTGCATGATATTTTGAGATGTTTATTTCGACTATTGCCAGTAAAATTTTACGAATTTCCTTAATTTTATACTTTCGAATACTTTCCGTAACGCATCATCGTCATGTAGTCGTGTCAATTCGTGAATTGCCGTCCGTGCACCTGGACATCTGGACATTTTTTAGTATAATATTGTGGTTAGCCTGTGAGCAGGCTACCCACAAAGAAATATTATTAAGCTTTGATTAATAATAAGATGCAATGCCAGTTACGATTCCTGTCTGTGGAAGAAAGCTTACAAAATTAATTAAAATAGGCAAAAAACTATACATTTTTAGGCCTTGTTGCGCCCCTTAAAAGGACATTAAATTTGGCCCTGTATGTTATCTACAGTCATTTTGACAATTGACAAGTCAGGCGTTGTGGCCACATAAGAAACATCAAGAATGCTCCTCAATTACTTTATTCCTTAATTGACTGTAAAACGAACCCCCTTACAAGGTTTCATTTTGATCAGTTTTCCTTTTTCCCCAAAGTTAACTTCATTTACTGTATATTATAACTGTGGAAATAACTGTTCTGCTTCAATTCATTTTTCTATCCCAAATTTAAAACTTCGTGACTCAAATTCATTTCTGCGCCCCCAAAAATCAACAGCTGGGGGGGCCTTGGCCCCCTGGGCCCCCCTGCCACCACGCCACTGACGTAGATATGAAGAAAGAAGCATGTGTTAGTACGACAAATACACGACGTACTTTAAAAGTTATTGAACATGGGAAAACATGTATGTTGTTTCATTTTATGTAATACACATGTGTTTGCTTTTAACTTTGTGAGCAATTATTAGTTTTTCCAATTTTTTCGTAAGAGTTATTTTAGTTTTAACATGAATATATTTACATCATCGAGATGCGTTAGAAACGCGTTAAATTTCATCAACTTGTTAGTTATTCAGAGATGAAATGTAATGTGGAGTTACGACAGTCATTAGTATCCTTTAACCTCATTAGTATTTTTATTTTGAAGATACTAATAAAGAAGTGAACAATAAAAAAACAATATCTTGTTAGTATTCTCTATATAGGGAATACAAATGAGATTTAATGAATACCATTGAGCTTTAATTTTATTCCATTGTTTCCACTCCATCTCCGCATTTTCTTTTGGCTTTAAAGCTTACATCACTTCATGAATTTTAGACACTATGCAATATGTAACAACAAAATACTGGACGCTGATTGGCCGAGTGACTTTGGCTATGTTCTAATTCTCGATATCTGTAGGTATATGACGCCATATCTACGAAAAATAGTTTCTACAATTATTGACTGGCGCCATTAAAGGCTGAATATGAAAAAAATTTAAACAAGAAGAACTCGACAAAACTGTTTGACAATTACAAATAAGGGCAGGTTTCGAAATGTTTTACATTGATGAGTGTAAATAATATTTCAGTTTGTTGAGATGAATGATAAAACAATTATTCAATTCGTTTTTCGCATGATATCAACAATTTTTCATACCTCTGTCAACGTTATCCGTCCCCAGCTTTGCTTCGGAAGATGACATTGACCTCGGCCGTATGACAATAATAATTTGTCATATATACGTCATTTTAGCCAGTAAATAGCAAGAAACTTATCACGTGCTTTCGTACGAGTATACTCGTCGTAGGTGGTCAAAGTACAGCACACCAACAGCTAATGGTGCAGTTTCCCCATTCTTGTAATTTTACCATGCATATAAAGTATGTCACGTTTTAAATTTTGTTGCGTATAATAATAATGGCAGTATTAAGGAAAATTGATATCCAGTTTGGTGTAGTCTTAAGAAGTGATTGAATGTTGGTACTATTAGGGTAAGCCTACCATTAGGTGCTCCAAGTATGTAGGGTGACTCGCTTTCTAGGATAACCCTTCTGCTGGGGTTACCGTACCTCCATGTAAATAGTCACTAAGCAAATTGCTTTTATATATTTCATGGGAAATAGTCGAAATAAATTCAACGCATAATTCAATAATGATGTAAGCAAAGCCATGTAATATATTTGAAAAATACCATTTATATAAATAACATGTAAATATAAAATTCTTAATCGATGAGCAAAGTTTGTGATAGACGTGTGCTGTATATAGTATTTTATGATAAAACTTGCAATATACAGTTTATATATCATTAAAGTGAAGCAGTGGAGAACTAATTTCTCAACAAGCTTTAAAGGTTTACACATTTAAATTTACATATTTATCATCCAGTGTAAGCTACCAGAATTTTTAGTAAGTTTTAACGTTTGACGAGCGTTTTCTTGCTTATACATACTTTTGTCCAATAGGTAAAACTTCAGCAATGGACCCACGTTGCTCATATCGTGGCTCATTCGTTGAAGGAAGATATGTCCATGAAGAACTACTTCCCATTTTAAAACACTCCACTGATTTAAGACATTCTCTTTTAAAATTCTTACCTCCCATGACAACAATTGTATCACTTGTTATAACTGCACAACACCATTCTCTCTTTTACAACATGGATGGTAAGACTGTAATCTTACCTGTTTTGATGTCATACATGATAACACTGTTATTATCATAACCTCCAAGAAGAACAACTTAATCTCTCCATTGAACTGTTGCCATATTATACAATGGATGAGGTAATGGAGGCATTTCCTTAAATGTAAGAGTCCTTGGACCAAATTCCAAAACACTGGACAAAGGTTTGCAATCTTTTCCCTTTCCTCCAAAAATAAGAACTTTATCATCAACAACAACAGCTCCATGGCCGCATATATTTACATGAATATATTGACATCATCGAGATGCGTTAGAAACGCGTTAAATTTCATCACCTTGTTAGTTATTCAGAGATAAAATGTAATGTGGAGTTACGACAGTCATTAGTATCCTTTAACCTCATTAGTATTTTCTATTTAGAGGATACTAATAAAGAAGTGAACAATAAAAAAACAATATCTTGTTAGTATTCTCTATATAGGGAATACAAATGAGATTTAGTGAATACCATTGAGCTTTAATTGTATTCCATTGTTTTCACTCCATCTCCGTATTTTTCTTGGGCTTTAAAACTTACATCACTTCAGAAGTTTTAGACACTGTACAATATAGAACATCAAAATACTGGACGCTGATTGGCCGAGTGACTTTGGCTATGTTCTAATTCTTGGTATCTGTATGTATGACGTCAAATCTACAAAAATTAGTTTCTACAATTATTGACTGACGCCATTAAAAGCCGAATTTGAAAAAAATCAAATAAAGTGATGTTTACCACAGTTTCTAAAAACAATAAGCGAAAGATTTTGAACAAAATTGATGCGGAAAACACTAAAAAAGCGACGAAGCTGGTTTCGAACATATTTACAGCATATTTAAACAAGAAGAACTCGAAAAAACCGTTTGACAATTACAAATAAGGGCAGGTTTGGAAATGTTTTACATTGATGAGTGTAAATAATATTTCAGTTTGTTGAGATGAATGATAAAACAATTATTCAATTCGTTTTTCGAATGATATCAACAATTATTCATACCTCTGTGAACGTTATCCGCCTTCAGCTTTGCTTCGGCAGATGACATTGACCTCGGTCTAAATAGTTCTAGATATCATGCTCAACCTCATCTAATAACTGTTTATTATTAAAATATTATCTTCTTAAACTGAGGGACATTTTGTTGGTATAATTGTGCATTATAATCGTTTTTTCCGAGGAATATTAAATTTCACTGTGTAGCACAAATCATTGTGACTGTACCACCATCTTATAATGGTTTAAATGACAGGAAAATTACAGTCCATTGAAATGAAAAAGATCAAATGTAGCCAAAACGAAAAACAAAAAAATGAAAGCCAAAATGTACTTTTTTGGACGTACAAAAACCAGGCTACAAGCTTGATGATGACGTTCTCAGACATCCTCGTTATTTTATTGTCTGAGAGGAAACTTTAAAGGTGGCAAAATTTTTAATCAGAATCTGCAATAACAATTTGTCATATTTATGTCATTTTAGCTAGTAATTAGCAAGAAATTTATCACGTGCTTTCATACGAGTATACTCGTCGTAGGTGGTCAATACACAGTACACAAACAGTTAATGGTGCAGTTTCCTCTTTCTTGTAATTTTACCATGCATATAAAGTATGTCACGTCTTAAATTTTGCTACGTATAATAATAATGGCAGTATTAAGGAAAATTGATATCCAGTTTGATGTAGTCTTAAGAAGTGATTGAATGTTGGTGTTATTAAGGTAACCCTACCACTAGGGTGCCCCTAGCACGCATGTGTGAACGCTACTTATAAAACATATTTACGTAGGGTGACTTACTTTCTAGGATAACCCTTCTGCTGGGGTTACCATACCTCCATGTAAATAGTCTCTTAGCAAATTGCTTTTCTATATTTCATGGTAATAGTCAAAACAAATTCAACGCATAATTTAATAATGATGTAAGCAAAGCCATGTAATGTATTTGAAAAATACCATTTATATAAATAACATGTAAATATTTAATTCTTAATCGGTGAGCAAATTTGAGCTAGACGTGTGCTGTATATAGTATTTTATGACACAACTTGCAATCTACAGTATATATATCATTAGAGTGAATTAGTGGAGAAATAATTTTTCACCAAGCTTTAAAGGTTGACACATTTAACTTTACATATTTATCATCCAGTGTAAGCTACAAGAATTTTTAGTAAGTTATAACGTTTGATGAACGTTTTCTGGCTTATACATGCTTTTGTCCAAAAGGTAAAACTTCGGCCATTAACGCATATCGTGGCTTGTTCATTGAAGGTAGATATTCCCATGAAGAACTGCTTTCCATTTGAAAATACTCCACTGAATTAAGAAACTTTTCTTTTTCGTTCTTTCCTCCCATGACAACAATTGTATCACCTGTTATAACTGCACAACACCCGCACCTCTTTTCCAACGTGGATGGTAAGACTGTAATCTTACCTGTTTTGATGTCATACATGATAACACTGTTCAATTTTTCTCTTTCATCATCACAACCTCCAAGAAGAACAACTTGATCTCTCCATTGAACTGTTGCCATTTCAGTCAATGGATGAGGTAATGGAGGCATTTTTTTAAATGTAAGAGTCCTTGGATCAAATTCCAAAACACTGGATAAAACTTTCGTATGTTTTCCATATCCTCCAAAAATAAGAACTTTGTCATCAACAACAAGAGCTCCATGGCCCCTACGTGGTTCAGGCATATGACACAACTCTTTAACAACATGAGATGTTTTACCAGTAATGTTTATTTCAGTGATCAAATCTGATTGTCCTTTTCCAAAGATGTATCCTCCAATGAGAAGGATTTGTTGTTTACAAACAACAGTTTGATGACCACAACACCCATAAGGAAGCTCTGTGGAAAATTTCCTCCATGTCAAAGGTGACTGTTTTATATTCAATGTCTCCATTGATTTGCAGCGAAATCCTCCTACAACAAATAAATTATCATTATAAACAAATGATGAAGCAGCACAGTGTTCATTTTCCATTGATGCAATCTCAAACCATTTCTCCTCCATCCATAAAAATATTTCAACACTCTTTGAGGAATCACGTGAGTAACTTCCAGCAATGAAAATATCACCTTTTACAGAGTTCATCACCATTTCAACTGGTGATGTCAATGTTTGAACATGTGGTTCATTTATATTCATCTTTTCCAACATTTGAAATATCACGGTTTTAATTTCTTTCATTTCGTTGGTCAAAGTAGCAAGATTTTGTTGATTATCTTTCATTTCTTTCTTTAATTCCATCATTTCTTTGATCACTGCAGAAAGATTTTGTTGAACATCTTTTATTTCTTTCCTCGATTCCATCTTTTCTTTGGTCACTATAGCAAGATTTTGTTGAACATTTTCTACTTCTCTTCTAGATTTCATCATTTTTTTATACTGAGATGTCAATGTTTTTACTGATTCTTTTACTTCAATAAATTTTTCGTCTATTTTCCTGCTTAAGTTGCTCATTTGCATTTCCATTTTGTTTTCAAAACTTCGTTGAAACATTTCGCTAATCTCTCGAAAGTCGTGAGAAGCAATCTTTCTGTATTCACATAATTCAGTTTCATGTTTAATCTTGTCTCGTTTGTTTATTTCCAGACCACAACGTTCATTAGAACACAACACTGGAGCAAAGTCACAATTTTGAACATGTCTTTCAAGATATTCGACATTTATAAATTCAGGACAACCACGACTGGCGTAGTCGCAGTTGATCTTTAACTTTGAAATCACGTTATTTATAAAACGCGCTGGATGAAGGGTAGCTACAGTTAAATCATCTTGACATTGAGGACATCTTTGTGGATTAACTCGTAGATGTTCTTCAATACATTTACGACAAAAATTGTGTTGATTATGGCACATTCTGGCATCTTTCATTACATTCAGACAAATTGAACAGTAAAAATTTTCATCAACAGCAGTCTTAATTCTCGATTCTTCATATCCACTTTCATAAACATTAGGACTACAAGCCATTTCATATATGTCATATGTCTTGTTCTTTATGATTTAGTGTCAAAATTAATTTAAAAACAAACAAAATTATTTGTTTATTTCTACAATTAAAACTAAAAAGATACGTTGAAATTTGCAGTCGATGTTTGATCAATACGGAAGTTGAAAGCAAAGAACGATGCGTAGTTGTGTTTTATATAAGTAATGTAATACTGCAAAAAACTAGATTACGTGCATTACGAGCAGTCAATCAAATCAATATCATTTATCTCTACGTCAAGATTGGACAAACAATTTGATTTTCAATGAGTATTGACATCGTTTCTTTTGCACGTATGATTCCGTTTTGTCCGTCTTAACTACTGACAATACATAAAACTTGATAACTCAATACTCTGCTCGAGATATCATACAAATACAAGTTTCGCAAACATCGTTTGTATCTTACTTAGGAGAATAATACAAGAAATGTGACGCAAAGTGGTTCTTCCATATAGTCCAGTTTTGTACACTTTACTCGAAGAACTTTGATTAGATAAATTTTTAAAAACTCTGCGTACTTTTTTTACGATTCTTAAATGTATTATTGGTCATATTTGCGTGATATGACCCAAGGTCATATTTATAATTTTACATTACAAGTAATACGACCTTGCACATCGTCTGTTAGTGGTTGTATTACAAAAATTCCAAAAATCATCTCAAAGTATTCGCAAAACCAAGTAATTTACAACATCTGACAATGTGTGAAGCACTAGAAAGTTTTGGCAATCATAGTATTAAAAGTAAGACCATGCTACTTAGATTACTTAGTGATTAAATGCACGCGAAAGCCCTGTAGGTTAGCAAAAGTCCTTTGGTGCTAAAATTAAAATTCAACCGCGACAACTATTGCGTTTTTATTTGTTAATACTTATCAGTTGAAGCAGTTGCTTTGCGGTAGTTGCCATTTAGACCGTAGTTGTATAGAAAATTTCTTAATATCTATAGACCCTTTGCACATGACGTCACAGCTGATGTTCAGCTTCTTCTGGGGGTCAAGTAAGGTGCCGCCATTTATAAATAAGTATTAGGAAGTAAAACTTTCGGTCATCATGGTTCACTTTTGCGCTGTTTTTGCATGCTCGAATCGATCTAATAGAGAAAAGAATAGACAGTTTTTTCGCCTACCTGCTGTCAAAAGTAATGTGAATGTGAACAAGAAGCAACTTCAACTTGAAAGGCAAAAGGAATGGCTTCGACGAATTCGCAGGGAAGATCTTACGCCAGAAAAGTTTGCGAATGCTCGTGTGTGTAGCGACCACTTCATATCAGAGACAATTGAAAAGACGAGAAGATCTGAAACTTCTAATGCACTTATAGCAATGTCAAGCGAGCAGCCCAATAAGGTTGTTGATAAAATGGACACCTCTGAACCAAAGGCAAATGAAATGTCAACTAGACTGATTAAACTGTCAATGAGCTGAAGTTACTTAAAGATGAGGTGGATTTTCTAAGGAAGGAAAATTCTGATTTAAATAAAAAATTATTGCAAAAGGAACTAAATGAGGATGCATTTAAAGATGATGATGAAAAGGTACTCTTCTATACAGGTTTACCTACCTGGAAGCTTCTTTTTTGCCTTTACAATTTTGTGTCTGGCTTCTTGTCACAATCATCCAGGTGTAGGCTTAGCCCTTTCCAGAGACTCATTCTTACATTAATGAGATAAGACTGAACCTTTCTGGTAAAGACTTAGCCTATAGGTTTGGTGGAATTCATGAGGCAACTGTTTCCAGAATATTTATTCAAATGATGGATATTCTACATAGCAGGCTTTGTCCACTTATCCATTGGCCTGAACGAGAAGCCTTATTAAAAACAATGCCCATGGATTTTCGCAAGAACTGCCCAGCATGTGCTGTGATAATTGATTGTTTTGAGATTTTCATCGACCGTGCATCATACAAACACCATAACACTGTCAAGTATTTGATAGGAATTACTCCCCAAGGTAGTTTAAGCTTCATATCTGATGGATGGGGTGGTCGTGTCAGTAACAAACACTTAACAGAAGAATGTGGTCTTCTAGAAAAGCTTACCCCAGGGGATGTAATTCTAGCTGACAGAGGGTTTGACATATAAGAATCTGTTGGATTGTATTGTGCTCGTGTAAAGATACCAGCTTTTACAAAAGGAAAAAAGCAATTAAGCGGTATTGAGGTGGAACAAACTAGGAAGATTGCTAATGTAAGAATCCATGTGGAACGCGTAATTGGCAATATTCGAAAAAAATATGGAATCCTTTCTGCAACTCAACCAATAGACTTTGTTGTTTCAAAAAGAGGAAAGACCACACTTGACAAAATAGTAACAGTCAGCTGTGCATTGAATAACATGTGTGATTCTGTAGTCCCATTTGAATGAATGTCTATTATTTAGAGGCAATAGTGGATCTAGCGTAGGTCAGAATACGTTGATATAAATATATTTCCCATTCAAAATACTTTACAACTAACATTATTGATGATGTTCTGGTTATTAAATATTTTTTTGAAATTTCTAACCAGCAACATTGCTGTTAAATTATTTTGAATTTAAAATTAGCTACTATAATGTATTCTGACCTACCCTGGATCTGCTAATGTATGTAGCTTTATACATTGAGTCGTATTCTTTTTTCCTGATGTGTGCGAGAGTAAAATTTCCCAAGCAGCTCGGGAAGGATCCTTTTGATAATAATTTCTCTACTCGAGATACATTTTCTTTCTAAAACTTCTCATCGGGCAAAATTCTTTCTATGTAGAGCATTTTCTCACTCCACACAACAAAATCACAATAGCTGCGTGCACTGCAAAACAATTGATCTTGGACCTGAAATAAAATGACATTATAACATGACTGTTTGGTACATGTATGCAATATATTTGTGTGTTGACTCAGCTGACACTGATTACATGGGAGCAGCTTTCCCTTAAACCAGCCATACAATCACAGCGACCAAATAAAATCTTCCCTTCCTTCTCACAGATAACCCATGGAGTCAGTGGCTTCTCTGACATTTTTTGCGAGTGATTTACCTAGATAGCAACAAATGATTGATAAGAAATATGGAGGGTGTTTGAACAAATCATTGCTAATTTTTAAATGTAATAAATTTAGCGTTTCACATTTATCTATAAGAAATAGAAGCAGATATCGCTTATTAAATGTGAAGATAAATAATGAACACACATACCTTCGCAATCATCAGCCGATTATCGCCAAATTCTTTTAACAAAACTTCTCGAACCCAGCCATTCGCGAAGCTCTGGTAGCACAAAAGACTTTTGTAGTTCATAAGCTCGTTCTGTGAGTATGAGCTTACCGAAAACAATAAATACATGCCCACGTTTATGTTAGAAATATTCGGCCATAATTCCATACAATCTTCCCAGTCGTTTTTTGGTATCTTGTATGGGTCAACAGAATGTATCAATGAAATTCTTGCCTCATATCTCTCCCTACATTCTTTTGACCTTATACTAGCGTAGTTACCGGGCAGGAAACCTTTATGAGTTGTTTTTTTTGGAGGCATTTTACTCAATTGGACCTTTCACACAGTTTTGCTTATAGAATAAATCATTGGCTTGCCATAATCATAGAATAGAGAATACATTGAATAGACAATACAATGCCATTGACCCCCAGAACATAACTTCCGGCGCTGACGTCGAAAAAATGTGACGTCAGTGCAATGGGTCTATAGTCAAATTGAGATTTCAGTTTCCATATTCCAGTCAGTGATACCTTGACACGCAACTTCAATATTTGTTGAGGTTTTTCATAATGATTGTTTAGAAAGTTTAACGAATGTTTTTCCCTTGTCATTTTTTTCATTTAGATTATGCAGAACAACCACATTGCATCCGTTACATTGTATGAAGACAAATCTTAGATGATTCGTTGCTGTATGAGTTTGAAGCTTTCTCAAATGTATTGGAGAATCGTTAACAAAAACAACAAAACTTAAAGATTTAGTAGATAAGTTTACGTTACGAAAGAAAACAAATGAGGAAAAATGGAGGAATATAATATAGCTCTTAACTATTCAACTGTTATTCATAGAGTTCAACGTCCTTGACAGATGGCTTTTATTAGCTATCTCTCATGGCTCAAAGCTTCTTTGTTTCTTCTCGGGCGTTATTTTTGGCGCGACTTGCATGTTATCGAATTTGTTTCCTTGCTGTTTTTCAGAATCCACTCATGGATTATTAGATACATAGAATATGCTTTACCGTGGCAACTTTGCATTAAGAAAAATAAATATTTATTCAAGGTACACAAATTCAAATAGTGTTTGATAAAAAGTAAGCGTTGTATAACAGGAAACCGAGTATAAAGACTCTCTTACATACGGAACTAGGTAGGGAACTATCAGTTTTAGAGATAACTTAGCTTTTGCTTGCAGTTATTCAACTGCTATGGCCATTGTGAACTGCAATTGACTCAAATATTACATCTTTGTAGATGTATATCCAGTGGTTGACTTTTGGTGCTCGTATTGACTGACGTTTCGACATTCTTTGCGGTAGTCCCTTTCAGAAAACTTGTCGATTTTCATAAGTGATATATTTATTTCATAGTTGCTATAGTCTTTGTGTCTCATTTTAGTTTCACTTTCATTGTCAGTAATCATTGTCGTTTGATGCAAAATTGCTGTCTTCTCTTACATTGCATGCGATTTCTGTAAATGGGACTGAGATTTCAGACAATTTTTATGAAAAACAATTGACTTTACAAAAAGCTACCTGTACTATTACTTCCTGCTATAACAGAAAACGCACAGGAACATGAAATTAATTTGTTCTACACATATTTATGATACAACAGGCAACACGCTAGCTCTTGTAATGAGTGAATTTCGATGGACGTTCTTCATTGGATGGAAGCTGAAAAAACAGATAATGACAAAGTCGAAGTTAAGCCAATTGAAAATTTCGAAAGTTGGAATGAAGTGTTGAAACGGTCCTGGGAGACAAATTGTCTTTACACTTTTTCTCTTCCAATTGCAAGCAACCACTGCTCAATTCAGTTTGACGAAAGATTGTTTCTGAGCACTCTTATTTATACCAACTTGGGGCAAGGACGTCTTTCTTACTTGAGCTACATACTAAATGAGCAAAAATTACACCGACATAACCAACAAAATAAAGTAATCTTGTCATTTGCTATACCAACCGTTCTCTCTTTGAATTTTGAATACCATAATTCTTCAAAATTTTGTTTAAAGGCTTAGGTGTAGATGGCCAATACGGGCGGACCAACTTCTGTAAACAATCTCGACAAAAGATTTACCACTACAAAATAGCTTTAAACGTAGTAAAAATTGATGCAGTTGACAGCTTCATCAACCGTATAAAAACTACTAAAAACATTTTCTTTGTTATAAAAAAGCCTGAGTTATGAATAACAAACATCATGATCAACGTAATATACTTCATACACTCTTGCTATAAAGTGACAGCACAATCAGAGAATAATATCCAGTGAGCATGTGACGCGTTTCAGCCAATGAGAAGCTTTACCTAAACATGATGTAAGCACGTGAACGGAAGAACACATAACATTCACCGAGAGTACGGAGAGCAAAAAAAGAAAGAAAATTTTGTTTTCAAATTTGTATATCACGTGCAAAAATACGAACTCCTTCCAATTACCCATTGAACTAAAATATACGGAACGCTATCTGTAATAGATAAGCCTAATAATTTTTTGAAGCCTAATTTTACACCCAGACACGCGAGATTACATGCAGAAACGCGTGTGTAGTCAGTCAATTTTCACTCCACGAGAGAATCTCGAAATACTTGAGACTTGCCTGGGTGTAAGATTTGGCTTCAATGATTTGCTTCATGTAGCGTTCTATGTATTTTAGTTCAATGCAATTACCAGACGGTTATCTTATAAAAATGTACATCAAATCACTGAAACGTCTCGAACAGGATGGAATTTTCTAATGCAATCGTTGCGCACAACTATTTAGAACCCATTCCCCTCGATGTTTGACTACTTTGACAAACTCAAAATCAAAATTAAGTTTAAAGAAAGTGTACAAAAAAATTCTAACAAACATTTTAAAAACCAAACATAAACAATCGACTCTTTAATGCTGATGAAGTAGAGATAGAACTTAATATATTATTTCGCATCAGTCATAGTCACATTTGGTTTTTGTTAAACAAATGAACTATTACTTAAAATATGATTTAAAATAGCTACTGAACATTAAGCAAAATTAATAATTATTCTTAAAATGTAAAAAACACCGTTCATGTAGTAAATTTTCTTTTTGTTTCACTTTCAATATTTATCAGGTCCTAGTCTTTCTTCCAGAAGACCGTGTTATAAATGTAGTTTTGATGGATGGAAACCATTATGAAAACGACTTGATTATGACCGCGCGAAATTCGAGAATTTAAGCGAGCAATGTTGTTATTATTTTCAAAACCGTATTTTGTACCCCCGAAGAAATTTTGGAGTACACCCTAAACTGAGGTGTATATCATTAAGATTACGTCTGCTTTGACCTAAAAAAATTTTACATGGTTTTGTGTACAAATAATGCACAAGAATTAAGTCGATACATTAAGTGTTGTTATGGATGAAGTAACCAATCATCCGCTGAAGATGTTTGTGATTTTAAGCATATGTATTTGTATTTCTACAGTAAAGAGCAGGCGTAAAAGAATATTAAAATGCATTCAAAAAGCCAAAGCACAGACTGCAAATACTTATAAGAGTCCACGCATTAAAGTTGTTAAGGTATTGAAATTATATTGGATTATCTTTTCTTTTAAATGACTTATATGGCTCACCACCATATAAACGTCTGTGTCATACATCAAGAGATAAGTAGGTCCAATGTAATTTAAACCAACTATTTACTTGTCACTTTTAGAGTTGCATGTGAAAAAGAATACAGTTTTTAGTCTGTTACGAGTACTGTATGCTGTTTTGTTTGTGATGAAATAATATAATGTTTGGTATTTTAGGACAAGTCTTTCATTACCTAAGCACAAACAGTGGTGTCTAAACTAGCTCCCATCCTTCAAGATCATTGGCATATCCAGGTTTGCAAGTTTTTTTCCAGCTTTTCCACTACATCAATATATCATTCCAGGTCTTGAAGTGTTGTTCTTTACCTTTTTCAGAATGTACGCCAAATGAAATTTAAAGAATTTCTAAGTGAGTAAAGTGTTTAGTCAAACAACCTGGCTGAAAAAGCTGATATGCAATAACATTTGCAAATCTTGCTGTTTTTGAGAAATTCCGTTACAGCATTGATGTCTCTATAAACTTGAGGCAACTGTGTCACTACCTTCAAAATAATTAACCAATAGGTGACTAAAATATAGAATGCAAACAGATAGCATATTATGTATATATTTGACATTTATATCATCACATATTTGTAGAAAGAGTTTCATTGGGATAATATTCTCATTCTTCTATGTAACTTGTGGTTCTTGGCAGATTTTCAGAGGTGTATACCTTGTAGACTTTTAACATAGAATTTTATGATTGAAGGCTAAATAAAATTGCAAAGTAATCTTCACATTGTAACTCAACCAATACCTTCAATACTCAGTAATATAAGGCCTTCGCTGGCCTTACCCAGTCTTTGTGAAAATAGCTAATTACATTATTTTGCATGGCAATTTCAGCGAATACATAATTAATTTATATTCGTTCCGTATTTTGGGACACCTGTAGATGGACCTCTTCTGGTGTCAGTTACTCTTCCTATGATAGAATTTTGTTCTTTTTATAGACAACGCAGGAAATGTTGATTGAGCCATTACTGCGCAGGTGCGTACGTACGTAGACAATTCTTTAAGTCTGTGAGTGTGACACATTTGAACGAGCTCATTGATTTGTTCTCTGACGCACAGAGAATTTGTTCCTGAAAGTAAAATTTGTTTTAATACTTGTAAAACACTTTACTTTCTCCGAGATATTGTATTTTTAACAAAGACTACGTACGATGTGTTGATCTTTTGACACTCTCAAATTATTTAGCGTTGATGAAATATCGGAGACGAGTCTTCGATACAAAGTTTCCAAAGCATGACAGACTTCACTTTGCCACAATTCCTTTACCACGTTTCTGTGATTTTGTTTGTTGCTAGGTGACAGCGTACATAACAGAGCTTTAAGCATAAGGATCAGTGACTGACAACATGTCTGTTAAGTCAAGTTTAGAATGAACTGTTATAATTTGTGTTTGTCACCAACCATATGTGATGTTTTGTCTTCAAGAGTGGCGGACGCTGAAGGAGGGAGAAAGTCACTATCTTACGTACGTATATTGATAATTTTATATTTGATAAAGAATGAGTAACACAACGAGTTACGACACCATGTAAATTGATCGAAATGATTTGACACAATCCTCCCCCCCCCCTCCCTCGTAAAAAATTTCGTCAATTGACCAGAACTATTTTCCAAATATATATAACTGTTCATTGCTAAGAAGTGTTATTTTATTTGTTTATAAAACACAGAGTTTTATTTTTTTACTTTTAGAATGCCATTGTCAAATCTCTCTTGTAAAATCAATAGCTCAGGTAGGATAATTGTCAGTTGTGGTTAACCATGATTTTAAGGCCTGCTCCCCAATCACCCCATAACCCGCGCATACTTGTTCTAGATCTCTCAATTGGAAAAATTCTTCTTCATACTTTATGTAAATATCGTAATATCAGGGAACGTACGTATGGATCAAATAGAAAGTTTTATTTATAGATTTTGAAATATGAGCCAACAAAACTTCTACTACAATCTGTGTCGTTATTTCGCTATGAAACTTTACAAAAACTTCGCTCGTGAATTGTTCGTGTTAAAAGTATGAGAGCTCCAAAACCTGGGGAGAGGTTTGTCATTCATGTTACGTAAAGTCTTGTTCTTATTCATAACTCACATAGCCACAATTACCCTTACTACCATTATCTTTATCACACGTTAACCCTCACCATCGCTTTTTATCCCAAACCATCATCACCGTAATCCCCCAATCACCCTCACCACGTCCTTTATCCACATTACTCATTCTCATTATCCGTTCCTACTTAGAGTGATACCTATGACTGGATCAACGCTGACCAATGATGTTGCGCCCTCGGACAACAATGCTCCGAAGGTTATCATACTATTAACAGGTGGTAAGGTTAGTGATTTCATTTTAGTGCCTACTTTTTTAATTGTATGAATTGTGTTTTATTTAAGAAATAAAACATGTTTACTGTGCTTGCACAGGCTTATGCAAACCGAGGAGACCTTTTGGTGAACTCGAAAGTAAATTAGTGAGGGCTTGAGACCGAAGATCTCATGCTCGAGAGTTATGAAGTGCTTGCACATGCACTTTGAGAGTTCTCACAAACGTCTTCTAGGTTTGCACAAGTCAGTGCAAACACGAGAAACATCTTTTATTTCATTTATAAAATAACAATAATGCGAAACAGACGAACATTTTAATTTTTCCTCTAAAATGTATTCATGATAGATTTGCAAATTCTCATTGACTGGTTGATTGTTATGATTGATTTGATTGCTAGAGCTCAGATGTGTTTTGCACAGGCTAATGCAAACACAGCTCTAGACCAATCAGCGCACGCGTTTCATTGTGTTTATTTTATAGTGTTTGATAAAAGACCACCGTTGTATGACAGAAGTACAAAGACTCTCATACACACGGGAATTCTAAAATTTTAGACACCGTACCTAATCATTGGAGAATATAAGTACTAGACATTTCTTCATACCAACCTACATGGAATTTGAATTTTTGAAATATTTTAGATGACAAACTGCTAGTGATTTGGTCAACTACCTGCAAATTAGTAAGGGTAGAGCACGATCATGTGTGCTCTATGGGATTGAGACACCCTCGCATTAGATAAAATTTTACCCTTTCGGGCACCGTCTTAGAACAATGCATGGCCAAAGCCAGAAGGGATTACTTATGGTACTGAATTTAAGATGCTGCATTCTTATACAAGTATCTTTAGTTTACAGCTGATGATTGTTTTCAACGAGTATTTGAGATGTGCTCCATGTAAAGGCAGGTTTTTGTTCGAAATCTCTCGAAAGTTATGGGCCAGAGGACATTGCATTGGTATAGCTCACAACCTGTTAAAATCAACACGTTCTATAAATATTTACGAACAATGTGAGAGGTAGATTACATTGACATGAAAGGATGAAGATTTTCAAATGATTTTGGAAAGGTTACGTGCCCAACAACCCTCTAAGAAAGGATCATTTTCAGTGATGAACAAACAATAATGTCTCGGACTGTTTATCGAAGTACATCATTGTTAGATGATGCAAAAGGCCAAGTTCTACTCTGGTAAAGTCAGTTTTAAAAGCACTTCAACAACCTGCTCCAGTGGATGTTTCAAGTCCAAAGAAAATTGAGGTAGATAAGAAGAAAGAAGAATGTGTTAGTACGACAAATACACGACGTACTTTAAAAGTTATTGAACATGGGAAAACACGTATGTTGTTTCATTTTATGTAATACACATGTGTTTGCTTTTAACTTTGTGAGCAATTATTAGTTTTTCCAATTTTTTCGTAAGACTTTTTTTAGTTTTAACATAAATATATTTACATCATCGAGATGCGTTAGAAACGCGTTAAATTTCATCACCTTGTTAGTTATTCAGAGATGAAATGTAATGTGGAGTTACGACAGTCATTAGTATCCTTTAACCTCATTTTTATTTTTTATTTAGAGGATACTAATAAGGAAGTGAACAATAAAAAAACAATATCTTGTTAGTATTCTCTATATAGGGAATACAAATGAGATTTAGTGAATACCATTGAGCTTTAATTGTATTCCATTGTTTTCACTCCATCTCCGCATTTTCCTTGAGCTTTAAAGCTTATATCACTTCATGAATTTTACACAATGCAAAATGGAACATCAAAATACTGGACGCTGATTTGCCGAGTGACTTTGGCTATGTTCTAATTCTCGATATCTGTAGGTATGACGTCATATCTACGGACAATAATTTCTACAGTTATTGACTGACGCCATTAAAAACCGAATTTGAAAAAAGTCAAATAAAGTGATGTTTACCATAGTTTCTAAAAACAATAAGAGAAAGCTTTTGAACGAAATTGATGCGGAAATTTCTAAAAAAGCGATGAAGCTGGTTTCGAACATATTTACAGCATATTTAAACAAGAAGAACTCCAAAAAACCGTTTGACAATTACAAATAAGGACAGGTTTGGAAATGTTTTACATTGATGAGTGTAAATAATATTTCAGTTTGTTGAGGTGAATGATACAACAATTATTCAATTCATTTTTCGCATGATATCAACAATTATTCATACCTCTGTCAACGTTATCCGCCCCCAGCTTCGCTTTGGCAGATGACATTGACCTCGGTCTGAATAATTCTAGATATCATGCTCAACCTCATCTAATAACTGTTTATTATTAAAATATTAACTTGCTAAACTGAGGAACATTTTGTTGGTATAATTGTGCATTATAATCGTTTTTTCCGAGAAATATTAAATTTCACTGTGTAGCACAAATCACTGTGACTCTACCACCACCTTATAATGGTTTAAATGACAGAAAAATTACAGTCCATTGAAAAGAAAAATATCAAATGCAGCCAAAACGCAAAACAAAAAAATGAAAGCCAAAATGTACTATTTTGGACGTACAAAAACCAGGTTACAAACCCTAAACATGGCGACTGTATTATTGATGACGTCCCGTTCACATCAAGAATACAAAGTTGTCAAACATAAAATTTCCTCGTTATTTTATTGTCTGAGAGGAAACTGGAAAGGTGGCAAAATTTTCAATCTGAAGCTGCAATAACAATTTGTCATATTTATGTTATTTTAGCCAGTAAATAGCAAGAAACTTATCACGTGCTTTCGTACTAGTATACTCGTCGTAAGCGGTCAAATCACAGCACACCAACAGCTGTTAGGGTAAACCTACCACAAGGGTGCCCCTAGCGCGCATGTGTGAGCGGTACTTATAAAACATATTTACGTAGGGTGACTCACTTTCTAGGATAACCCTTCTGCTGGGGTTACCGTACCTCCATGTAAATAGTCTCTAAGCAAATTGCTTTTATATATTTCATGGGAAATAGTCAAAACAAATGCAACGCATAATTTATTAACGTAGGCAAAGCAAGGTAATATATTGGAAAAATACCATTTATATTATACAGTATATATATCATTAGAGTGAATCAGTATAGAAATAAATTCTGAACAAGCTTTAAAGGTTTACACATTTAACTTTACATATTTATAATCCAGTGTAAGCTACAAGAATTTTTAGTAAGTTATAACGTTCGATGAACGTTTTCTTGCTTATACATACTTTTGTCCAAAAGGTACAACTTTGGCCATGGACCCATATCGTGGCTTGTTCATTGAAGGAAAATATGTCCATGAAGAACTATTTCCCATTTTAAAACACTCTACTGAATTAAGTTCTTCCCATTTATCATTTCTACCTCCCATGACAACAATTGTATCACCAGTTATAACTGCACAACACTGAGATCTCTTTTCCAACATGGATGGTAAGACTGTAATTTTACCTGTTTTGATGTCATACATGATAACACTGTTCAAACTTTCTCTTTTATCATCATCACCTCCAAGAAGAACAACTTGATCTCTCCATTGAACTGTTGCCATCTCAGTCAATGGATGAGGTAATGGAGGCATTTCCTTAAATGTAAGAGTCCTTGGATCAAATTCCAAAACACTGGACAAAACTTTGCTATTTTTTCCCCATCCTCCAAAAATAAGAACTTTATCATCAACAACAACAGCTCCATGGCACAAACATGGTTCAGGCATATGACACAACTCTTTGAAAACATAAGATGTTGTACCAGTGATGTTTAGTTCACTGATCAAATCTGATGTTCCTTTACCATGAATGTCTCCTCCAATGTGAAAGATTTGTTGTTTACAAACAACAGTTTGATGACCTTGACATCCATAAGGAAGCTCTGCAGGAAATGTCTTCCATGTCAAAGGTGACTGTTTTATATTCAATGTCTCCATTGACTTACAGCGATATCCTCCAACAACAAATAAATTATCATTATAAATAAATGATGAAGCCCACCTGTGTTCATTTTCCATTGATGCAATGTTAAACCATTTCTTCTCCTTCCATGAAAATATTTCAACACTCTTTGAGGAACCCCGTGAGTGACCTCCAGCAATGAAAATATCACATTTTACAGAGTTCATCACCATTTCAATTGATGATGTCAATGTTTGAACAAGTGGTTCAATTATATTCATCTTTTCCAACATTTGAAACATAATGGTTTTAAGTTCTTTCATTTCTTTGGTCACTGTAGAAAGATTTTGTTGAACATCTTTTATTTCTTTCCTTGATTCCATCATTTCTTTGGTCACTGCAGAAAGATTTTGTTGAACATCTTTTATTTCTTTCCTTGATTCCATCATTTCTTTGGTCACTGCAGAAAGATTTTGTTGAACATCTTTTATTTCTTTCCTTGATTCCATAATTTCTTGGGTCACTGTAGAAAGATTTTGTTGAACATCTTTTATTTCTTTCTGTATTTTTGTACACTGAGGTGTAAATGGTTTCACTGATTCTTTTACTTCAATAAATTTTTCGTCTATTTTCCTGCTTAAGTTGCTCATTTGCATTTCCATTTCCATTTTGTCTTCAAAACTTCGTTGAAACATTTCGCTAATCTCTCGAAAGTCGTGAGAAGCAATCTTTCTGTATTCACATAATTCAGTTTCATGTTTAATCTTGTCTCGTTTGTTTATTTCCAGACCACAACCTTCATTAGAACACAACACTGGAGCAAAGCCACAATTTTCAACATGTCTTTCAAGATCTTCGACATTTATAAATTCATGACAACCACGACTGGCGTAGTCGCAGTTGATCTTTAACTTTGAAATCATTTTATTTATAACACGCGCTGGATGAAGCGAAGCTACAGTTAAATCATCTTGACATTGAGGACATCTTTGGGCATTAACTCGTATATGCTCTTCAATACATTTACGACAAAAATTGTGTTGATTATGGCACATTCTGGCATCTTTCATGACATTCAGACAAATGGAACAGTAAAAATTTTCATCAACAACAGTATTAAATCTCGATTCTTCATATCCACTTTCGTAAACATTAGGACGACAAGCCATTTCATACGTCTTCCTATACAATTTAATATCAAAATTGTAGTACAGCTGTTAATGAGAAAATTCTTCACTTGAATGATACAAGGGTAAAACTTTCTTATAGTCTTACCATGCCTCAAAAGACAAAATTTTGATATAGGGCAATCAATTAAGTTCTATAAGACTCAATGGGGCTATCCCATTGAGCTCTATAAGACCTGGAGGGGCAAAGGGGCCTGGGCCTCGTGGTCAAAAACATGGCGGTAATGGCGGATTTTGGTTGTCAAAACTTCCACTTTAAAAATTTTTTTCAATATTCACTCCCTCCTGATTTCTAATACTGTTTGTATGAACGAAAACAAGTGAGAAAAAAAACAATTACGATACCGACAGCATATCATGTGAAAATAATGCTTCAGCATTGCGTGAAAAACACAGTACAGACACACATCAAAATAAAGAAGATCGACGGTAGAGAAATGCATATTTTGGATGTAACATTTAAGTTATTTTATGACATTTTAGCCTTTTAAAAGTGAAAATCAAACGGCATTCTTTACTAGACCTGTCAATCTCGTAAAACTTATACATTATTTCATGCTTTTGTGTGTTTGACTGTTTGTAAACAGTTTGGTGCACCTATTTTTCTTGCTTCAAATAGATAAATCTGTGTAAAAATGCTCCTAAGGAAGCGAGAAAATGTTTGCTTCAGTCCTACGACATAAGTCAACTGAAAGTTTACCATGGATAAGTATCATAAGTGTATTGTCATTACCTGATAAATCTACTGAAAACTCATAAAGAAAGTATGTTGAACCAGAAGAGCTACAAAAAAGAAAAAAATTCAAAACACCATGACACTGTTGCTTGGTAATTTGTATTTTGTAAACTGCTTGGCAGAATCTTGGATCTATTACTGAACAGAACTACATTAATTTTCCATTGAAATTACAAACTTGGAAACTAAAGTGCATTGGTTTCTCTGACAAAAACACTCTGTCTATTGCTGCATGAAGGCAAAATAGTTATTTGACAGTGTAGGTGAAGAAATTTATCAAGTTTTATAGATATTATTGTGCATTACTTACAGTTTTTTGGAATTGAGTAATATATGTCATGAACAAGATATAATTTTTCAAAAATGCTAACCCCTTCGAGCACTACTACTCTTCTGTTTTGCTTAAACAACTTACAGCTACCAATACTAATTATTTATATGTACAAACTAACATTTGGGAATTAAATGATAAACAACTTGTTAAATCTTTTTATTTTACATCAAGCCTTTGAATTAGTTCCTTTTATCTTTTGGTGAAAAAATATTAATGAAAGACTTACAAATCAAGTTTCTTGAAAATAGTATTTTGTACAAAGAAACTAAATAATTGGAAAGGTCACATGTTGAAGACAGACTTTGCTTCTTTGACTAGGTTGCTTGACCATGAGCAAATTTAAATTTGTTTACAATTTGTTTAAAGAATTCTTTTCATTGATTTCTACTAATTCTTCATAAGACACAAAGAATTTCTTTGGCATCTATTTTTGCTTCTTCTACATCCAACTTCATTGTAACCAATGCATCCGATGTGAATTTGTGGATCACCTGGAATCATAACAAGTATGAATTTGATGAGATGAGACAATAATATGTTTAATTTTTCATGCATATTAATGATATAATCATAATTTGCAACAAATTTTAGCACATTGTTCAACACACTACTTTTATCTTGGTTTTGAAGTAGTAACCTGTTTACTATAACAATAAATACTTCATTTACAGAAACGCTAAGTAGTACTTTAAAACTGTTTGCATAAATCCAACTTTCCAAACCCATTATAATTGTCTACACTATACATTCAGTCAAATTGAGCAGTCAAACAGTTTAATAGTTATTTTTATTATACAACATATACCATAGTTCTCATTAATTTTGCATGGCACTGCATTCAATTTCAACACAACTCTGTTGTAAACTTTCCCTTCATCTTTTCAAAAAAAACATGAACAAATTATGCCCCATTTTTGGGAGGTAAACTCAATTCAAATCAGGAGAGTTTAGCTTGATGCCTTGAACATGATACAAGATGGATGCAAAACTCGATAAAAATTGACAGCTTCGCCACGTCTGGCGAGCGATTAAGTGAAGAACAAACAAGACTGGACCAAAATAACTTTAAATTAAAACTTAGTAGTAGAAACACTCTTCAAGTATCGTGTTAAAAACAAAATAGTAAAACTAATACTGTGCTACTTACCGGAGTCAAGAAATGTTCCCTTTTCTGTCGCTATTTCAGCATCCGCAAACCACAGAAGTTGGCAGTTTAATAAATAAAATTGAATGATACAAGGGAAAAACTTTCTTACAGTCTTACCTTGCCTCAAAAGACAAAATTTTGATATAGGGCTATCAATTAAGTTCTATAAGACTCAATGGGGCTATCCCATATTTTACATTTACAACGCGTTCTGCGCATGTCGTGTTTGATGACGTTAAAGTAGTAAAAAAAAAAACAAAAGTTCTGAGTCATCGCAATTTCTCCGTATAATCTTATACAACAGCTAAAGACGATAGAAAAATTATATTACAACTTTTGCTTTTGAGGAAAACATTCTAAAATATTCTACATTAAAGGACACATGCAAGATAGAAGACAACTTTATTTTATTGTAATGCCTACGGCGTGAAATAAGACGTACCAAATTTCAAAGTCGTCTGCAAAATATTTCAAAAGATATTTAGGATTATAGTCGATAAAAACACGATATTCGATGACCATTGCTAAAACGCCGTGAGATTGTTGAAGTCTGGGAACTGGGAATGAGTGACGTATTGTTGACATAAAGAAGCATTGTTCTTATGTCGTTCTACGATTTGCAGGACTTTCGGTAGTTTGTTATTAAGGTAGTTTGCTAGTTATTGTTTTTATTTAACAAAAATTAATGGATTCTTCAGAAGAAGAAGCCGATTATGATATTTTCATCAATAACAAAGAGGTACAACCTTACATGTTTGAGCCTTTGGCCAACGCGCAAGGTGGTCATTGTAATGACAATTCTTTGTCTTTGGAAGATGAATACATTCACAGAACTGGAAATGTTGAATGGTTAGTTGCATTTTATTGATGTTTCATTGTTTCTCCCAAAGTAAAAAAAATGTTTTTATCTTTTAGGTGCGAGTGTTGCTTTTGTGTGGTCATGAGTACAGGACGGGAAAGTATATGTTGCCAAGAGGTAAACAATACTGACCTCTGATACATGGCGATCATATTTGCATCACACAAGAGGAAGAGTTTGCCACAGTGTGTACAAACGAAGCTGTCTTAAAAACAGCTATGGTCGTGTACACACATGACATTGGACCTATACCTGAGAGTGAAGAAAACGAGTAAATATTACCTTTGAAGTATAATTACGTGTATGTCGAGAAGTGTATAATGCCGATAAGTATCTTAGACAAAATTTTGTATCTTTCAAAGAACATTACGCTACACGGCGTACCGACAGTGGACGGCTTGGGTGCATGGCAGGTTGGGAAAAAAGTACAGACTACCCATACCTTCTTGTGCTGTGCACAAAATCCGGAAAGCATTTCCTTCGCCGTCTGGAGATTACAAAGGATTTGAATATGCTCAACACTACTGAATGGTAGGGCTTATGGCGTATGACAAAATCTGTTCATTTGTAATTATGTTTATTTCATGTGGAACGTTATTTCCATTATCTTTTTATTTATAAAAGCGACATTTATGTTGCTTAATGGCTTCAGCTTTGCTGATATTTGATTTGTGCCAAGTCTATGGGACAGGTATTTCTTTCACTCCAGCGACATCAAGAGCTTTGGACAGTGTTGGATTAATGCGTCTGAAGTACAAAACTTCTTTCATCAAGTCCTTAACATATCCTGAAAAGCAAATCATTATTTATGTTGGCTTTGCATTGCACTTTGAGAAAAAGTAAGTTTATTTTTCTGTGCTAACCATAAGTGCTGTCAATTTTCACTAGTTTGATGACCCCTTGTCCTTCTTTTGACTTTGAATAAGCCACTTTCCAAATCAATGCCTCTTCTGTTTGCCCACCATTCTTCATTTTCTGAGCTTTGTTTCCATTCTCATTGAAATGAAGAGCAGCAATAAACAATCTACAAATGAATGTTAAGTTTTTGTTTACAACTATTGCAACTTATTGCTTTTGCAATGATGACTTTTTTAAGTAATCGTACACAAATCATTTTTATATTACCTTGCTTACATTGATCTGTAGAAAAAATGAGTATGTTTTGGTGCAAAAAGAATTACCACTCGGTGGAAACCTTTGATGGATGAAGTCTGCTTTTGATAACTGAGTTTTCGATTATCTTTCATGAGATACTTGGACTCAACAATCGAAGACAGCTCAACATAAGCTTTTGAACCTAAGATCAGAAGTTAGTTAACAAAAAGAAAAAGAATGTTGATGCTACTTTGAAATTTATTTGCTTACAATACCTTTTTTATCCACATTCTAGTCTCTAACATATCATGTTCACATTTTGGGAATACATCACTATGTCCCTCATGGATGTCACATATATGGTTGAGAAGTGACAACCACTTTGCCTTGACAAGTTCTTCATCACCATTGCTGGAAGCAGCACACCAGTATACATGGTTGGAAATTGATTGGGCCCAATCTGACAATAATTTGCAACCACTTTTTTTGATGCTGCCCAAATTTTCTTTTTGATTCCTGTTGGATTTTGATTATTGATGAAATGTGTAAAAGGTTGGTTTGTTACGACAATCTATACCTTTTGCTACATGCCATACATCAAAGTAGTGCTCGATTTTGGTCTTTGTTTTTTCATGTAAGATTTGATTTGAGCATGTCTGTCTGTGGTCATTGACTTCACCTTCATCCCACTTTCATCAAACTTTGCCAGACATTATTTTAATCCCTCAAGTTCCATTGCTCCAGAGTTGGACTCTTCAATGGACTGTTTAACATAATTATGTGAGTATTCTAATCATGTTTAACATACAGTTGTTGAAGAATTGTTACCTGAACAAGTTGTGTGTCTAAAATGTTGTTAGATTCCAAATCCATGCAGCTATATGACCCATACATGGCACAATATCCAGGCAAATCACATCTTCCATCTCTTCCAAGGTTGATGTTCCTTTTATTAATTTATTATTAAAGCAGAAACAAAACAACATATATTTAATTATTTAAGTTACATAACGAGCATTGTCCTAAACCATGCGGTATCGAGCAGAACAGAAGATAACAATTAGCATACAATAAGAAGTGCTTACCAGATCATGTGACTAGTACTATGATCAGATATCTTATACTTAGTTTAATACACATATAATGTATCGTCATTCCTAACACCTTTCTCTGATTGATTCTAGAAGATACTTTTGGTGCATATGCCAAACATTTGAAACACTGCATTTGTATGAAATACGCTGTTTGAATATAGCTATATGTGCGCTCAAACAGAAATTGTAAGTAGTAATATACATGGGGGTACGAATCCATAAAAAGTTTACTTTTTATGTATTCGAATCCCCCATGTATATTACTACTACACCCGTGGGTAAAAATCTCGAGGTTATAATCTATAGTTTAAAAATATGGAATCTATATGTTATTTAATTTGTCTGTCAAGCGCGTGTCTTAGTGCATGTTTTTCAACAATGGTTGTTTAATGTAATAGCACATTTCATCAGCGCATGTATAATAATACAATGTTTTACAAAATATGGAATCTATATGTTTTTGAAATATATAGGTGCGTTTAAATTTTACAAACGGTCTTTACAAACAAATGTTAAGAAAGCATCGGTTCGGAGGGGGATCGGCAGCGCAGATTTTAGCGTAGCTAAAATTGAGCAGGGGAATGGATCCCCCGAGAATTCTAAGCGACGGCGGGGAAATTTTCACTTCGTGAAAATTCGGAGCGTCCCATAGTATTCGATGAATATTCGAAGAATATTCGAGAATAACAGAGGCTTAAGAAATGCTCTTCAAAAAACCGTCTTTAATAATCAAGTGTTAATAATCAAGTGATATTAAAATATCAGCGATAGCTGGTTTTTAGCAGCGCGCGTGTCTTAGTGCATGTTTTTCAACAATGGTTGTTTAATGTAATAGCACATTTCATCAGCGCATGTATAATAATACAATGTTTTACAAAATATGGAATCTATATGTTTTTGAAATATATAGGTGCGTTTAAATTTTACAAACGGTCTTTACAAACAAATGTTAAGAAAGCATCGGTTCGGAGGATCGGCAGCGCAGATTTTAGCGTAGCTAAATTGAGCAGGGGAATCCCCGAGAATTCTAAGCGATTTTCACTTCGTGAAAATTCGGAGCGTCCCATAGTATTCGATGAATATTCGAAGAATATTCGAGAATAACAGAGGCTTAAGAAATGCTCTTCAAAAAACCGTCTTTAATAATCAAGTGTTAATAATCAAGTGATATTAAAATATCAGCGATAGCTGGTTTTAGCAGCGCGTGTCTTAGTGCATGTTTTCAACAATGGTTGTTTAATGTAATAGCACATTTCATCAGCGCATGTATAATAATACAATGTTTTACAAAATATGGAATCTATATGTTTTTTAATTTGTCTGTCAAGCGCGTGTCTTAGTGCATGTTTTTCAACAATGGTTGTTTAATGTAATAGCACATTTCATCAGCGCATGTATAATAATACAATGTTTTACAAAATATGGAATCTATATGTTTTTTAATTTGTCTGTCAGGCGCGTGTCTTAGTGCATGTTTTTCAACAATGGTTGTTTAATGTAGATAGCACATTTCATCAGCGCATGTATAATACAATGTTTTACAAAACTATGGAATCTATATGTTTTTTAATTTGTCTGTCAAGCGAGTGTTATATAATTTTTGTAAAAAGTGTTTTTAATAATTGTTTCAGGATTTTGAATCTTTTTGTATATCGCTTTTGTATTAATTACTTATTACAAACAGTTATGTGATATGTAGTCAAACATGAGGAGCAGGTATGTATGATTTTACTCTAACAGAGGCCCACGCTACATGCTTACTACACATTATAACTGTATATTAAAATAAGTTTTAATTATCATTTAAATAATGACCATAAGCTCTAGTATTTATACCATCATCTAATATGTACCGTTTATCATCAAAACAGCTAAGTGATACTTTATTAATTTCATAACTACTAAGTTGATGGTTTACACTTCTAATAGTTTTCATTGTATGATGTATTTGTTTATTTTCAAATAGTGTTTGTTTATAGTCTTCATGTTTTATTTTGTTTTTAATAATATTTTTCTTAATTCCTTTAGCTTTTTTATCTCCTTTATTATTATCTTTAATATAACTATACATCTTGCTTCTTAAACCAACAAACTCTTTAATTATATTTCCAGCAGCTTCATCTTTCATTTTACCAATAACTTTTTTATTAGTATTATCATAATATTTATGGCATTTATCATAATCACTGAAATCAAATTTATCTTTATCAGCCCAAAAATCTTTATAAGCATCTTCAGTTTCTATTTCATAACAGAGAGAATCGGTATCAGTGAATAATAATTTAGCTTTATCACCATACCGATTTTTGATATAGTTGTAATGAAAATCATACATCAAAGTTTTACTTAAATCTAAGATACACATACCCACATATGCAGGTCTGTTGAGCACCAATTGTTCTTTGATCTTATGCACAGCCACAAGGTTCTCATTGAAAATTTTACTACTTACATAAGTAGGTTTTGAAGCTAATTTTAATAATTTATTTTTATTAGTTACTAGTCTAACATCTACTCTTTTCGTAAGTTTTCCATCGTCTTACCAAAACACTGTTATTCATGAGTTTGAAGAAGTCTTTTCAAAAGAATTTTTGCATTAGTTCTTTTTTGAGTATTAAAGTCTATGTATTTTTTCAACCATGGAGATTGATTAAATTCAAGTACTCTATGTACTTTTTTTAATTTTAACCCGAGATCTAAGTATAGTTGAAGATTTCTATAATGCAGCACATACTTATCTTTATTTTTTAAAGTAGGTATTAATTTTGAAACTAAACCTGTTGATATATTGTAATTAGAAGCAATTGTCTTACAATATTTTGACAGCATGTTGCTAGTGACCTTAATTTTTTCGGGTGCTAGTGGATAATCATTATGTAAATTATGTAGTTCTTCAGTGTATTCTAAATCAACTTCTAAAATTAGACCTTTTTTATTATCTTCTTTATATGTGGCTAAATTTATGTTGTTAATCTGTTTCTCAGTTAACCATTTAAAACCACCAGTAGGTAGGTATTGTGACATAGCCCATCCATAAAGATTGTTAGCATCAAGATACATTATATATTTTGAGGGTTTATTCTTATCAAATGTTTTCATATACTTGTTATTAGCCTTACCATATCGATTAGCAATATAACTAACACCTCCTCTCATACCATTTTCGATGAATTGAAACATGTCAATATCAGTCATTAATTCTAATTTAATATCTGTCATCTTTAACATAGCATCCCATGACAAACCAGGACTAGTAAAATAATGACATGGGTCTAAGTTATAGTATTCAATACATGTTTTTCGAAAGTTTTCGAATACATCAGCTAATAATAAAACGTCTGATTTCAGATACAGGTCGTGATAATCACCCATGTTTTTGAGATTGAATGTATTCCACACTTTTTGTGCATGGTTATAAGAATCATCTGAGATATTCTCATCAGTAAGAATACTATAAAAGTCTTTTTTTGAAGGCAGCCCATTATCAAACTTTTCAAACGAGTCCATATAATCATATGGGTAAATACCTTTTTGTGTCATTAAATTAAGTTTTTCACCTTTAAACTGATTAGAGGTATATTTAAATGATTCTTTAGGTAGGTTACTAACAAGCTTTTCTAAACTAGAGCTCATAAATTGAAAACTATCAAGAAATGTCAAATGGTTACCTAACATGAAAGCCATATATTTTTCCATGTTATTAGGTATAGCATTTATATTCATATGCGTTTCCTCACCTTTTTTGTTTTTGTATGTATGCTTATTAACAATAGCTCCGATCTCTTGCATTATGAAGTGACTGTCATACCCACGTAGATTGTGAAATATTACTGGGATCTTTAATTTATCAGAGTCTATTCTAAGTTTTAAGTTACAATCTTGATGTGCTGAGCCTCTGTATTTGCCAGTGATATGACAATGGTCTCGAACTCGAATATCTTTGTTAGTATATTTTTTGTTACAGATGTGACATTCATCTGCTTTTTTAAATTCTTTTTCATCATCAGAGGTCATTTTTAATGGTTTATTAAAGTGGGTTTTCATAATATTTTTACAATATTTAACTTCTTTTAACATAGCTTCCATAAATTTGTAAACAGCCTTTTCACCTCTATATAGTTGAATTTGTTTAGTAAATTGATCATCATAGCAACAAACAACTTTATACCCATAACCACAGTCAATATGTTTTTGATAGGCTTCTGTATATGATTTTTTATTATTCTGATTACAACCAGATATCTTTTCTGTAATAGCCTCAAAGTCTGCATATATAACAAATGGTACTGGTTGTTGCTTATGATAGTTGTTGAATTTAAGTATGTTATTATTTTTATCAGGCATTCTTACTGATTGTATACCATTTATTAGTATACAGTTTTCTATGTGGTTATTTAATATTTTTTCAGAACTAAAACATTGAAGGCAACGCATACAAAAGTGTTTCCTTTCTTTATGCTTTGTTTGATTGTACATAAATGCATTAAAATTTTTTATTAGAATATAATGTTTGTTTTCATTATCAGTTATTAATAGTAGTTCCATATGGTCTTTAAATTTTTCTTTTGATATATAAATGGGGTATGGTTGCTTATTTTCATAACCGAAGACATTAATGTTAATTTTGTTTTGCTTTTCGATTTTATTATATTGTTTAACAGTCACTGGAAATTCAATACCAGAGTAGTCTAATTTGTTAATATATTCCTTATCAGATTTTTTAATTCTCTGTGGGTGTTTATTTTGTGGGTTAATATGTCTAATATGACACCACCTAAAACATTCATTATCTGTATTTTTGATATTAATTAATCCTTTTTTAGAGTTTTTAAGTTCTTGTGGTAAATTAATATATGAAGATCCTTGTAATGGCTTGTATTTAACAATATTAAGATAATGATTATCTATAGATTTAATAGTCCATGAAGAACCTTCTTGATTAAATTTACTAATTATATTTAATATATTTTGTTTTGAAATTTGTAATGATTCATTAATATTTTCATTATTTATAATTGTTAAAGCTTTACTGTTAAAATAAGCAGTTTCTATCATATGATCAACATCATATTTTAATTTTCAAATGTAATCTTAAGCGTTTCAACAAATTTCAATCCTTTCATTA